TTTCCGATATTTTTACTTGCTAGAAGCATATGCTACAAATCATCATTAAGGACAGGGAAATTCCTATATTATATAGTAAAACTTTTAATAGTTTAATCGAAAGATCATAAATTATATATTATTATAATATCTAATTTCTTACCTTTCTTCATTATAGATGTTCCAACAACAATTCAGAAATACTACAATTGAGTGCTTCATCTCCTTTGTCGTTCGTACCGTTATTGACGGAGAATCTTCTTCAAGTACTCTTGATTTTCAGCATTTTATTCTTTATATAGAAAATCCTTATTAATTAATTTATGGTCTGTTATACCGAGCATTACCAAGGTTGGCTATTTATCTTTGAATTTTTCAACTTCAGATTTAGATAAGGTGAACTTAATGATTTCTATTGTGAAACAAGTGAAAAATTTCTGAGTCATCTAGTCCCACGGCAATAAACTTAATATAAACTTGATAATTGAATTCTGCTCACATTAGCCTAATTTACAATTACGTTTTAAGTGTTCATGAAATAATCTCTTTTAATCATAATAGTGTGCTTGTTAATAAGCATAGTGGTTACATATCCTGCAAGATACTTTTAGCAAAACCCTTGGAGCCAGTCTTTACGGTTTTGGAAATGTTGGTTTCCAATTTGACATTATAATTTTCGGTTTCGTTTAAAGTTTTTTATTTTTGGATTGTTTTAGGCTTAGGCTTAGGCTAAAAAATGTAATATAATTGATGTTACTTGGCATATAATATTATGGCAAAATTTAAATTAATTAGAATGTAAGATTTTTTAAATTAAGTTATTTTACTAAAAATTATGCGTTATTTGATGAATGGTTGGTAAAATTGCTAAGTTTATAAAATGACTTCTAATGAAGAATATCCGGTACAGTCGGGTATTTTTAATGCATGTGAGTGCTTGGAATGAGAACCTTTAGTGCTCCGTGCATTACAATAATGTTTGAATGAAACTATACATAGAGGTAATTAATAAATTTACCAGTCAATGCTTCTTCACCTCCTGTCTCGTCCGCACTTCTGTTGACTACTATTAGTAAATTTTAAATTGTTAGATGCTTGACTCTAATCATTTTGGAAGTGCAATAAATCTGTTTGCAAAAATGTACCATTTATTAAAACAATTCTCAATGATATTTGAAAAGAAGCGACAAATTTTAAAGATGCAGTCGCTGATGTAAAATTTGCATGAATAGAAATTAAATCTTTCTTTAAAGATTAGAATAATGCAGTCAAACATCTACATTTTCTCTTTGTCCTTTAATTCAATATTGTGTGAGGAATAATTTGTGCGTTGTTGTAGAAATTTTTGGTTTTTAATTTTTGTGGTGTTAGTTAAAATGGATATTTTTATGTAATTTTAGAAATCACAAATGTAAAAAAGAAAGCTATTGGATTTGTCGGTGTGAAGTGGAATGGTACCACAACATATATCAAGTAATGAAGGATGTAAAGAGCACAGAGAGTCATCGAATTTATCAATCTAAGGAACGAATGCTGAATAAAAATTACAGCGTCATGTTTGTCAAATCACATTTTAAAAATCATCTGATGATGGCTCATATCAGCGAAAGCAGCAACGATTGTTCGAAACGCAAGAAAAATTTTTCTCAATCACTGAATTTGAAAAATCATACGATGGCTTATACCGTTTGTCATTTTTCGGTAGAAATTTTTCTCGATTGAATATGTTAATTTCATTATTATTTTATAGTCATTGTATTACCGTTATCCATCGCTCCAAATAAAATTAAGTAAATCAACTAAATATATGCTAATTTTCTCGTTTTATCTAATAACGAAACAGGCTTCTTATGAGAAAAACTGGCGTTATTATTATTTCTTCATTGTTTATTTTCGTGTTATTTTCAAAGCAGTCGATATTGGGTTCACATTCTTTTGCAAAAAGCAAAATGAATTATTTTGATGGAAATGGAAAATCGGATAAATTTTAGTTCATGCCGTAGTTCTTGAAGTAATTGGTATCATACAATTTTTAATTTCGAGTAGAAAATTTACAATTGCTTATTTCGCAGTCTGCAGAATCGTTCGACAAAAATAAAATACATAGTGGACAATACACATACTGCACAGAAGCCGAACAGAATTCAAACTGTCTCTGTTGTATTAGCGTGAACGATAAATATTCTGAATTTCCTCAATGTAGCTGGTACGTAGCTGATACTCTAGTTATGTAGCTACTATAGCTGGTACGATAGCCGCTTTTTTTTTGTTTGTAAATTTGGATGACAATTCTACAACTGTTCGTCTCACGCTGTTACGAAATTCTTTGACAAAAAATAAATTGAGGGTGGGCAGTAATGCACCGTTGAAAATCACATAACAATTGATGAAAATATTGACGGGGATTTCAACTTTTTTGCCTCCTAATTTCACTGCAAGTTGAAAAAGGAAATAGAAACAAATAATTTCAATTTCAAGTGCACCACAAACGATTGCTGATTGAATTAGCATCAATCGCTCGTATTTATCAGTTATCTTTGCCTTATATCCTGCAAATATTCTTAAGCGGATGACTTTAATTACAGTATTTGAAGATTAACATCATTCACTAATATTTGCCAATGCCCGTTGCATCCACTCCTTCACATCATTAACTTGTAAATTAGATGAAGGAAGGAAGCGGAAAAAATCGCAAATAATTTCTGAATTTTAAACGATTTAAAAAATTGCTGCACTGTATTTTTTTTAACTGCGTAAAAAACTAATGCAAAAGTTACCGCTTTCTTTGCTCAACTCCAAACTACTTTTTCGTCTGTGGCGAATGTTGCAGAATATTGCAATGTATATCACAAACATCGCAACGGGTAATGCAAGCGTCCATACATAACGAATCCTGAACAAAAATCGAATAACAATAAGTGAAGATGCTGACGATGAATATTAATAATTGTTTTACAAAGAGGAAATTGAAAAGTATGATTGGAATCAACGAAATTAATTTCAAATTCCTAATTACTACAGGATAAGAAGTAATGGACTTCAGACAATGTTTTTCTTAGAAAAGAAAATTTTTAATTCAAAAATAACTTACTTCTTAAACACTTCACCATTTTCTGATATGTTATTGGTACAATTTAAGGACCATTGCAAATTTGGAACATTGAAAGATTTAATGCAGTAATTAAATTCTGTAACCGAAAAACCTAAAAAATTATTTGAAAATTTTGAAGCAATTTTGATAGCATATTAAAATAACTGAAATCCATACGGTAAGCTCTAATTAGCCGAGCATTGTACAAGGCTGAGCATCGGTAACCGATAAGGTTATGGTGAATAGAAGATCAAAATAATCATGTTTTAATAATTTTATTCAAATTATTTCTTATGTGCTTATTTGTCAAATGATATAGCAATACACATTGAGAGATTCTTTTAAAATCACTCAGTACAGATATAACAGGTGCATTTGTCATTTGCAGAACTTTTGCAGATTCTTTTGCAATTGTTGATGCTTTAAAGAAATGCGTGAAATACTCAATAAGTCGGTCATACCGAAAACTGAAAACCATGCGCAGATGAGGAGAAAATATAGCTTTATTGATTCGAAAATACCATTGTATTTTGGTAAACATATGGCCACAAAGCGATTAACCGTCAATAGAAATGTAAAATGCAATATACCAAAAAATGAAACTGTATTCATAGAAGCAAATATTCTCTGGATTATTATTGATTTATATGCTAAAATGTTAATCAATCAGTTAATCGAGGCAAAACTGTAGTAGTATGTACAAATTTGCCTACGCATATGCTTGCGAATTAATTCATTTCTATCTCACTCTAATTAATCGTGCAAACCATATCGTGCAATCAGATTATTATCTGCGATTTTAAATTTATTACTTGTATCTTTTCAACAAATGATAATAAGTGGATAATATGAAGGAGAAGTAAAGAACTTACAATAAGAAATTTTCTTCTTTACTATTTCAGGTATGACAATAATTACTTGTGTAAAAAAATTCAAAAAGCTGCAAATAATAATTTGAAATGCGATACAGATGAATGGACGACTGTACATGTTGTTGCAACAACAGAATATCGCCATCAATAGTATATTGCCAACAATACCATACAGCAGCATTAGAGAAAACAATATAGTTGCGACGTATTTTTTTGACATATTACAGTCATCTCTTATATCGAAAATATCTGTCATATTCCCATTGTGACAATTTAATGGTGGTAATATTAGGAATAAAACAATAATACAGTAAGAACAATTCATTGTTTTGTTCACCGATAATTTTTCTGAAACATTCATCACTTAAGTTATTATGTAAAATGGATTTCAGTTAGCTGGAAGTTTCAATGGCAGAAATGTCAATGCTTCAAAATGGTTTGTTTTTGAATTGCAAGAGAATATATTGAAGTCAATATGGCGAATGCATTAATATTTAATACACATAAATTGATTGGCAGGACAAATTCTTATTTTGGTTGTATTCATCGAAGCTGCTTGAAGTAATTTTAGCAATATATCATTTTCAATTTTAAATCTCAGGAATAAAGATTTGCAACCATTAGAACTTTGAGTGGATAAGGATCTTAAAGTAGGTAAACTTTTCCGCTCTCTTCACAACAAGTATTGTGAGCTTGAAATTAAGCTTATAAAGTAAAACAAATGAAGTGTTTAGCTTTTTCAAGTATATTATAATTCAAGTTAAATATCGTATGAAAAATAAAAAATTTCGCCACTGTTTTAATTCTAAAATTCTATTTCTTGAACTAAAGTATACTTATAAGCAAATAATTCACTTAACTCTTCGACTGTTACTAACATATAAACAATATATCAGAAATATTGCAATAGCATAATTAGATGAATTATCATCCATCTTTTACCGTATTCCTAATAGCTCTTGGTTTAATGATTTTTTATGAGATTATATAGAAGTGTAATAGTTTCAATATCACGCAATAAAGTGATTGCTGCAACTGTCGTCGTTGGTGACAGAAAT